GGTGCAAGAGGAGGAACTGCTTCCTAACGCGTGCACCCGAACTACTGCGGAAAGTTTGGCAATGTGGCTATCACTCATCTCCTTGCAGTCTGTGGCAATTCCTGTTACTGTGGGTAGTGGAAGAGGGTTTTGAACCAAAGTCTTCTCAGGCCATACAGTTCTCGAGTGGCTGCCTCCACCGCAGCAGTTGACCTCCACTAATATTTCAGAACGGTCATCCTGCGGCTTCAGACAGTCACACTGTCTTTTCCTCACTGAAGTTGGAATTACAGATGCTAACCTGAAGGCAGGATTTGGCCCATAGTTCTCTTTGCTAAAAAATCCCAAAGTATTAAATCCTAGCCTTTTCTGTCTTAAGTGTTGCTATGATCTAAAGACTTTTTGTCATTTCATGAGCTCTGTCAGTAATCTTAAATAGTACAGACATAAAACTGTTTTTCTCTGATTCTTAAGAGAGAACATTCTTATTTTGCTATTTGTATTTTAAAATGTTTAACCAAGCATGTATTTTTCCCCTAGATGTAAAAATGATTCTTCCTACCCAGCAGAAAGCATTTCTAGTAAATGTTTATGGTATTTTTAGGAAACAAATATCCACAATAAAATAGCTAAGTAGTCCCAGGTCTTCAAACACTTTGGAATAAATGCTTCACTTTATCTACTCTGCAGCTCCATTTCAGGCAATAAAATTAGTCATACATGAAGCTACGCATGTACATGTATCTGAAAAATCATCGCTTCCCTCTGTCAAGTGTGTCTTTTGTACAGAAAATAAATAGTTCAATTACAAGGTCTGACCTGGCACAAGCTGAGTCCCAAATCATGTCCGCACCTCCAGCCCCTCCTGGCCTCACCCCTCTCTTTTATTTAAAGGTGTCACCTCTGGTGGAGCTGGTAATACTCTGTTCCCTGCTGACAGCTAATAAAAGGCAGTACTGCACTAGAAACTTTCAGCTTAGGTTGTCATGTAATCCATAAAGAAAATAAGAGGAATAACATCAGGGGAAAAAACATGTCTAAAATACAGGTTTAAATTCCGGTCTATGCTATGCATTGGACAATTTCCAAGGCCACAGCTTGGGACAGTGCAGGCCCTCTGCTCAGAACTGTAATCACACCTGCCGCTTTTGGATTTTAAAAATATCAAGAATCTGTTTATAAAGATTTTGTTTAAAAGTTTAGAACCAACAATTTTTTTCCCCACTAGTTCCTTCCATTCCCCCACCTAGAACTTTTTTTTTTCCCTTTAATTTCTCAGTGTTGGAATTGATATAGAATTGTGTAGCCTCTCATCTAGGCATGGGCTGCATTTTTGCATTGTTGCGCCCCATCCCACATATGCTAGATGATGTAAAAGACATTAAGCAGCTTTTCATATATACTCAGCAACCAGCTGCTCCTGTGGCTCATTTAGTCAACAATTTTGAACATTATACACCTGCACATAAACCATTTCTGCAAAGACACATAAAGGAAGGTGTGAGGAGCCCGTCACAGATAGAGCACCCCTGTCTATCATGGGAAAGGATGAGAGCAAATAGGACAAAATTCAAAGCCTGGGCCAGATTCTAATGTGAGCGGAAGCGTAAACAGGGAATAATTCCACTGAGAGCAACATTACTTCCAACTTAAAATGTTGTAAATGAGATTGGAATTTTTTTTCTTTGGTATAAACAGAGCCCACACTGACAGAAATGTAAGTGACAGTACAAGTCATGTATCGGGTGTAATTTTGTCAAGTGACACTAGTTGTATTAGATTTGTGGGTGTGCAAAATGAGTCTGAGACAGAAAGGAAGATTGGGGAGGCTTTTGTGTCCTTGTAGTTACTCATCTTGCAACTTACATCTTTGGCATTTAAATCATAATTATATTTCACATCTCTGGAATGCTAAGTGCATGTTACACCACTTTCCCACTAACACTCATCTTGTGGTAGTCACACCCATTGTTTAACTTCTACCAGCCTTCATTTTATTGCAGAATGCAGCCCACAGAGGTTAACCACAGGCGTTTTTGTCAAAAAGTACAAGGCTATTGTATTAGCTGAGCAAATTTCAGGTGTTTACTGCAACAAAACAAACTGGGAGAGGTCAAAGGTAGGTCTGTACGCACAAACCTATCAATGGGAAAAGTGGTAGGTTGGAGGCTGTTTTTGAGCTCATTGTTAGAATTAAGCCTTTGGAGGGAAGCCAAGCGTTGCTTTCCAAATAAGCATTTGCTGGATGCTGTGGCAGAGTTCTGACAATGCAGGGTTGTATCGTTCTTTTGATCTACATGCAAACCCCTGTTATCAACGCGCAGATCAAGCACATGAAGTATCGCATTGTATCCAAACTTGCAAGGGAGGCTTGAGCAGTTAGTGAGTTACTGCATGATGAGGACACAAACTTTTTTTCATTGTTAATTAAAACAAATAATGCTTTAGACTATGAAATATAATAACAAGTTTTTCTTTCCGGAAACAAATACACATTCCTTTGTATTTTTAGATGGTTGACCCAAAAGTTCAATAATCTGAATAATCAGTGAAACACTAGTCTTCTTTTGCTATTTGCAGTTTGTTTAGAATTTAAATTAAAACTTTATATAAAAATAAGGAAAGGAATCTGTCAGCTGCACTGTAAAGTGACCCCAATAGTGCACTGTCAAAGCAAAGTTAGGAGAGAAGGCAAGTTGCGGAGAGACTGACTACTTATATATGAGCAGCTAAATTACAGCTGCTTCCCAGTGAGGGATGCTTGGCTAAGAATGCGTGTCCAGCACTCTCCTCCTATCTGCACAGCTCCTTTGCTGAAGTTGTAAGTCTATTTTATTTCATCCTTTCTTTTCAAGTCAAGCATTAGCTACTCACTTTAAACATAAAATCTGCCAGAAGCAAGTACATAGAGGATTTCAGGAAACAAAGGATGAAAGTAATAGCCCATGGAGAAAAAAAAAAAAATTCTAAAACAATAGAGCTCTTCTTTTACATCCCAGCTAACTAGGGCATGCATTAGTAACACACACAGTGCTGATGCTGAAACCATATTTACTTAGGGGAGGAGATGGGGAACAGAACTCCATGTGAAATAATTTGAAAAAGTGGCTTTGAACTTCTCAGATGTAAAATGTTTTATTTAGGAGCAACACAACTTCTATTTGACAACTGGTCTGCCACTGGCAAGGAGTCTAAAGACACAGTGACAAACTGCTGGGCTGATTGTCTTCTGAATCAAGCTATGATCGCATTTCTGTTACGGAAATAAATGACATAATTCAAAAGCATAGTGTATCAACATTATAGTATGGAACATCATCAGCCTCAGCCTGTATGACAATCTATAGCTCATATTTTCAAATGCACTCTTTGGCTAACGTTTATTTAAAGAGATGCAAAAAACTGCACATATCTGGCTTTTTTTTTTTCTTTTAAGAGCTAAATTATACCACTTAGCTAAAGAGTGACCTGCAGCCTCTCTCCTACTGCTAATGCAACAGATAATCAATCATTCTTTCCACAGCTATCCACAGCAACTAGAGGTCAGTAATCCATATTCATCTTTCGTGCAAGTCTGTAAAGTGAGTCTGTGGTTCTTAAGGCAGCAATTAATTTGGTCTATCATCTCCTTGAGGGACAGCAACTGAAACAATGAATTCCTGTGGCACAGGGAGAGGAGAAAGGGTCACAGATTCCTGTGATAACTGCGCAGGTCACATGCCTTCCAGTGATATTAAATTTCAAAATCCATTTTCTGCAAAAGTAATTTTATCTTCTTTTACTCAAATCAACGACTTGGTGGCCTGTGACAGCTAGTACCCTGCAAATATTGACTACATGTGGCTGCAGTAGGTGCCTAGCA